AAGCAGGCAGCGTCGTAGACGGAAAAGTACCACCCATCCTCGGCCTCAAATTCCATGGCAGAGACACTAGTACTATAAAGCTCGCACTGGTTACCACTGGTAAAACCGATTGACTTGCAGTCATCCCTTTTTTCACACTCAGCTTTACATCCCGCCAAATCGTACTGTTGGAAAAGGGTGATCAAATAGACATGGCTGTCCTTGAAGAGGCCTGTTTGACCGCAGACAGGCTCTGGTTTATTTGCGCAGCCGGATGTGGCAGCTCCAGATTCTTTTGTGCAAGATTGAGAGGTGGGGGTCTCAGGAGCGATAGTTGTAGGTCTTTGTTCTACCATGGTCGATGCGACGGACTCGGCGATCGAGGTCGTGAAGGCGTTTGAAAGCGTGTCTTGAATCATGGTCCCCGAAGGGTGACTGGTAGAAGCAAACGAGGAAGTATTCACAACAGTAGGACCAGGTTGGTTTTCAGGACGCCCCGTCCTTGTAGGCTCCTCTCCCGGGGTTTGATATGCGGTAGTTGACAGACCAGTTTCGCTATCAGACTTTCCCATAACATCAGTATATACTGGAGAGGTACCAGCAGCGGACGGGAAATTTTCATTGCCCGTCAACTGAGACTGGATGGACGAGTATGAAGGAGCGCCAGGCCTACAAACACCTGCTTGAGCTCCGACGGCGAGGGCAACCACGGCGGCAGTACGAAGCGTCAGGACGACTAACATAACGTATAGGGGAGTTGTATGGAGATACAATTCGTTCTAGTTCAGAAGAATGGAAGAAAGGTAATGAATAAAATACGATGATATTTATAATACCGTATTGCGCACTCGCATTTCTCGCTACACTACAGCATGCTCTTTGTGAGTTCCGAGGTAGGTACCAGTGAGTTACTGCATGGATCCACCTTATATGCCAATGTATCGTCCAAACCAGGCTGTTTCGAGGGGCTCGTAAGCAAAACCTAGCTTAGAGGGAGATCCATCCAAAGGCATCGCGGCTTCCTGGAACTCAGGATGCAGTCGTATCGACGTGAAAAGAAATTCGGGTGTACAAAAATGGTAATTCTATAGCTGCAAGGCTTATTGCAGGAGAGAAAGCCTCGGGTGCACCACAGTGTATGCAGGGCGTTGTTTGTTCACTCTGAGCTTCGCTTACGGGGTAGATATTCCACGTCTCTCAATGTAAGCTGCCAACAAGGGGTGTATGGATACTGTACTAATAGTTGTGAATTAATCTGTTAGTAATATGTTTTTGTTAAATACGTTTTATTGTAAAAAAGGGATAACCGATTTTAATCTTTAGTCCGATACCAGATATTACAGAGTATTATGTAACTGTTGCTGATTTGTGGATCATATAACGGCAGTCATGAGCTTCGAATGCTTATGACCCTCTGACTGGATACTGCGCGACCCCGGCGAAACGATGAGCTTGTTATTCATGTGTCTTGGGCGCCAGATAGGTTGAGAAGGATCAAGACCCTGGAATTTTAAGCGTCTTGTTCCATCAAGTTTGAGTTATTATGTGACTTTGAAGATTAGATTTCCTGAAGATGAATATTCTGGAGTGTTCGACCTTTA